TTCTCTGTATCGTTCCAATTTTAACAGATGTCCCGAAGGATCTTGCTTCCATTCTGTCCTTCTGTCCAATCCAAAACTGTTGGACATCCAAACAGGCTCTGGTGTTCAACAATGCAACCCTTTTTTTTTTCCTTTTCTTTTTCCTTCTGTTTTTTTTTGGGAGTTTGTAAAGCCAAAAGAAACACACGCATGAACAGGTTTCGAGTTCGTAAACTCAAAAAAAAAAAAAACATGCAGCGGCAAAGATATCTCGCACCGACTTCGAAACGGCAATTTCGGTCTCAAAGGATCTGTCGGACTGTTGGGCTTTTTTTTTTTTTTTTTTTTTTTTGTGTGTGTGTCTTTTTTTTGCACTTTCCCCATCTGACACCACCGCCGCCGATCCCTGTATATATATGACACCCGGCCTCACACCACGGCCGCGAGTCTCTGAGGTTCCTCTTCGATCAAACTGAATTTGGAACTTCCAACACTAAGGCGTTGTTACCTTCATTGCCCTTTTTGAACTCGCGCCTGGTGTCTTTGCTGACAGCCTGACGCATCTTTTTTTTTTTTTGGCACCCTATGCAACTCTGATGTGGTATGAGTGTACTTCCCCCTTTTCTTTTCTTCTTTTTTTCTTTTTTTCTTTTTCAACCATGCAACCTGAGGTACACGCAACACAAAAAGGTAGTCCTTTTTTTCCCTTTTTGGTAAGTTTTTAGTAACTTTTTGCGCCTGCAGTATAACACCCCTGCAGTGGGCACACCACATTACGGAGGATAGATAAGCCAGAGCAACCCCGCGTGTTTTTGCCACAGAAAGGCCCGCCGGTGTTTCCCGAAAAGAGTGCTACTTTTCAGAAGAGAGATGATATATTCGAGGCTTTTCCATTTGGTGATCATAAAAGTTAATCATAAAACACCATTCAACATAAACTGAAGAGAGCAATAGAGAATAAGCCAATCGAACCAAGTGCTGCACCAACGTTTGGACTTGACCCTGCTTCCGTGGGTCTTGCCAGAACCAATCCCTGGTCCCTGGTCCCTGGGGTCAACAGGGAGATCCTTGGAGGCAGTACTACACCTGTATGGCAGATATTGTGTGCACGTCCCCTGCGTCTGTTCTATTACATATACAGCAGTGAATCCTTGCAATTCTCTCTCTCTCTCTCTCTCTCTCTCTCTCTCTCTCTCTCTCTCTGTGTGTGTGTGTGTGTGTGTATATATATATATATATATATATCACACACACACACTACAGCTGTGGTGCCTGGCACTGTTGACTCCACCTCTGTGTGTGTGTGTGTGTGTGTGTGTGTGTGTGTGTGTGTGTGTGTGTGTGTGTGTGACTGGATAGGGGCTGCAATGCCCCAGGTTGACACAAACAGTTCCGACTATATATATGACTATATATCGGTAAACCGTAGGCAGAGAGGGAGAAGAGGACAACAAACGAGGGGCTGCGACAAACTGTTTCGTCGGAGTTTCACCGACTCATCAGGAGGCTGATATATATATTATCTACCCAGTCGTGCAGCAGTGCTCTGTATATGGCCTGCAAATCCCGTCTCCAATTGTGCAGTGACTGCAGTCCATGGAATGTTTCTTGCAACTCCAGCTCTGTTTTCCATCTGCAGTGTAGTTCATTCCAGAGATGGGACACAGTGGCCACCACTCTATTCATCCAAGTAGGAAAGGTTCTCATTTACTAAGCCCAATCCCCCCCTCCCCCTCCCCCTCCGCCCCCGCCCCCGCCCCCTAGACCAAAGTTATTCCCCTTTGTTGACCAACAATTAATTCAAAATAATAAAATGGTAATAAACAAAAAGTTAAAAACAAGAAAAAAAAGAAAAAAAAAAAATGTAATTGCTGGCGTTCCTTCGATGCCCTGCAGGTACTTCAAGCATACCCTAATTATCCGAAGATCCGGAAGGATATTCTTGAAAAGGCGCGGAACCATTTGAGGCCTTGACCTGAAAATTGATGAACACTTTCAGCAGCCAGGATAGACTCTGGAAAGATCCAAGCCGTTCGAGATTGCCACGTGGGCTCCCCTCAGACTGCCATCTGGACCATTCCAGCTGGCAGTCCCAGTCATGGGTGGGACTGCCATGTGTACCATTCCACGTGGGCCCAATTGACACCCCCTGCAATGCCGACAACCCCTGGAAAGGCCCAACCAAGTTGGAGACTGCAATGCGGGCACTGCTGCGACTGCCACGTGGATGCAGGAACTGCCTCTTGGCGAACATTCTCAGTCGGGAGAACCCTGACGAATGACACGTGGGCGTGCTGCCGGGACCACCACATGGACGCGGGAACGACGACTTGGTAGTAAAAAAACAGCGTCAGCCAGGATGGTCCTGGAATTGGCGTACATGTTGATGGCTCGTTAACGGTACGGTTTCCTAAAATCGTTTGTTCCAGGACCATCACGTTTCCAGCTGCTGGGACCGCCACATTTCACGCTGCCGGGACCGTCACATTCCCAGCTGCTGGAACTGCCACATGTCACCTGGTTTCCTAAAATTGTCGTTCCAGGACCATCACATTTCAGCCAGGATAACCCTGATGAATGGCACATGCCTGGACCACCACATTTCCAGCTGCCGGGACCGCCACATGGACGTTGGGGCTGACGACTTGGCAGTTACAGTGTCACCCAGGACAATCCGGGATCCAGTGCACCTAGCTCAGTTGATACGCGCAGGAACTGTCAAAGTACAGACCCCAGGTTTGAATCCAGACGGGACCAGATGGAGAGAATAACGATAATTATGAATCCTCTGGGGGCCAATCAGCTCGATGATGATAATCTCGAGGCCGTCACCTTAAACCACACATGCTATCTTTCAACAGCCAAACGTGAAACCCCACAATAACCGACAGCACATTCTTTGGGTGAGCAGTGCTACTGGACCAGAACGGCTGGTGGCACCAGGCAAAAGGAGGGCACGCAGGCACTACAGCAAAGCTTGGTGCGCAGCTCTCTTCAGCCTCGGCAAAAAGAGGCCCAGATTTAATGGTGGTTTAAAAAAAAAAAAAGAAAGAGAGCTGGACAAAATCCTGGAGAGGCCGAGTAACACACCATGGTTGTAGTGGGTTAAGAAACTCGGCTCCTGAGGCTGAGGTCGCCGGTTCGAATCCGCGCACGCACGGAGGAGGTCCAAGGCTGATAACAGTACAGACTGGCATGTGGACGCTTCTGCAACTGCCCCACGTGAACGTGGGGACCACAACTTCGGTGAACGGTTTCAGCTGCGAGAACCAACTTGAAAAAATCCGAGTCGCCCGAGGCTTCAGCGTCATGGACGCCGGGACTGCAATTTGGCTAACAGATATTAAGCCGGGACAATCCTCGAAGAAGAAAAAGGGGGAGAAGAAATTCCCTGTTCTCAGAGCGTGCCATGTGGACGCTTCTGCGACTGCCGCACGTGAACGCGGGGACCATAAACTTTTGTGAAAAGTTTCAGCCGGGACAACCAACTTGAAAAGATCCGATTCGCCTGAGGCGCCCGTGTGGGGGCCGCTGCGGCTGCCTCATGGAGGCAGGAACTGCAATTTGGCTAACAGATATTCAGCTGGGACAATCCTCGAAGAAGAAAAAGGGGGAGAAAAGAAATTCCCTGTTCTTGCAGCGTACTTAACAGTTTCCTAATGGGTGCCATGCAACACCTATCTTTTCCTTCCTTCGGTCCTTCCGCAGCTGGAGACCGCCATCGCCATGCGGACACGGCGCTGCTCGAATTGCTGCATCGAGTCGTGGCTGCAGGAACTGCCACATGGACCCTGATTTCCTTCAGCGGCCAAATTGCCTGTGAGCAAGCCCTGCTAGTGTTCAAAAAAAAAAAAAAAAAAAAAAAAAAAAGAAGGGGGCGCCTGAGGACGTTTATCAAATCGGGGGCGCCCCTCGAAAAATAACGGGGTGATTTTTCAGTGTCATTTCACCCCACCGAACAGGGCCTAGAGGTCCGGAAAAAAGAAGGGGGCGCCTGTCGGGGCGGTGGGGTGGGGTGGGGCCCGCCGGGCATGACTGAAATTGAGACACTGCAGGGATTCAAGTTCATTCAACAGGGGAGAGAGACAGCCGCGGGGGAGGGGAGGGGAGGGGAGGGGAGAGGGAAAAGAGGGGCGAGAGAGTTTGAAACTCTACATGAATCTAGTCAGCTTGCTGGTCAGAGGGAACCACCTTCTCAGCCGAATAGAGCCAGTCATTGTAGCTGTATTTGGACTGAAAGATATCCCATATACACAGGTATAAAGACCGTACGTTGTATTCAGGAAAGAAGGTAGGGGTACGCCATCGGGAACTGTTTTTTTTTTTTTTAATTAAAAAAAAACAGTTCCCCATGTGGCTGAATGGTTGGTAGCAACTTGGTACACATCGGGAACTGTTTTTTTTATTTTTAAACAACACCCCCTGGTACAAGTTGAAATCCTGGTACAACCAGACGGACACAATAAAGTTAGGGGCCAATGGGCACCGACCCCTCTCTTCAGTACTAACAGTTAAAAAGGAAGGCAGCTGCAGTGTTGCTCCCGCGGAAGAGTGTAAGCAGATACCATAGCCACCACAAGGCTGTGTTCTACTCCATCTCCTCCTCTCCATCCCTACACTTTCACCCTTCCTTTCACCCCAGACCTCCTGTACGTGGGAACTGAGGGGGTTGGAGGGGTTGAAAATCTGACAAAACAACCTGTCATATGCCACAGTTATACTTCTTGGTGCAGGTGAACAGTTCTCTCTCTCTCTCTCTCTCTCTCTCTCTCTCTCTCTCATCTTCATGCACTGCCTTGAGCACTGTGCTTGTAAAAAGACTTTTCTTGTATCCATCTCCTCTCCCCCGATTGGCTACCACGTCACCCGGCGCTTCTTAGATTTCAAGCCCCCGGGGGAAATGTACTGATTGTTTAATGGGGGGCACATATGCAATTTCCCCCGCTTTGTTTTTGGTGGACCATATTTCCATTTCTGCATGTCATCCTTGAGTGCACAGGGGCCATGCTAATATTTTTTTCTCTATATCATTCCAAATTGAACTGACGTCCCGAAGGAAATTTTATTATTTTCCCCCCTCTTTTTTATTTTCCCACAGCACAGTTTCTTTTCTTCGTTTTAATTTTCATAATCGTAAAACAGCTGTTAATAAATAAATATATAAATATATAAATTATATAAATAACAATCCTAACACTACTATTTCTCCTCACAACTCTCCAACTCCACCACTGACCTCAAAAGACAAAAATATTTACAAATGTTTGAAAATGTTTAAACATTCCATTAACAAATTATGAGAACATTCGTTCAGGATAGAGAGGCCACACAAATCTGTACACCACACATTGTCCGCCCCACCCCCTTTTTACACCTCCCCTCCTCTCCTCCTCTTTCCTCCCACACACATGTTCCTCTTTTCAGAAAGAATATTCTTGAACCACGTCTCCATCACTTTCCACATGTTTGTCGGGATCTATCTCCAACTTCCAACTTCTACCCTCTGCTCAGACTCTGCCGCAAATCCCGACAAACAAACCTTCGCTTCCGTCGATGCAGTCGACATTGTCTCTCTGTCTGTTGTTGAGAAGACTGCCACCGCTACAACAGGTCACAAATCCCTGCATACTCTGACATATTTCTGACACATTCTTCCCTGCAGGCAGGATCAAAGACCCTGAGGAATTGGTCCCCGGGTCATGAAAAACTTGAAAAAGTGCCGCAAATCCCGACAAACAAACCTTCTTTTCAGTCCGGGTCATGAAAAAGTGCCGCAAATCCCGACAAACAAACCTTTGCTTCCGTCGATGCAGTCAACATCGTCTCTCTGTCTGTTGTTGAGAAGACTGCCACCGCTAAAACAGCTCACAAATCCCTGCATACTCCGACATATTTTTTCTGACAGATTTTCCCTTGCAGGCTGGATCATAATACACCCCTCACTCAGCTCAGAGTCTCCTGTGTCACAAAAATCCTTTGCTTCCCTCAATGCAGTCGACATCTTCTCTCTACCTGTTGTTGAAGAGAGCGCCAGTGCTAAATCCGGTCAGACGTCTCTGCTAATTCTGACACATTTCATCACATTTCCTTGCGGCAGGCAGGATCGAACACCCATCCTCAATTCCAGCAAATCCTCGTAGACCTGCCGCTCTCGCTCAGAAGGTCCTGTAGAACTGCCGCTCTCTCTCAGTCAGAAGGTCCTGTAGAACTGCCGCTCTCGCTCAGAAGGTCCTGTGCAGCTCTCGCTCGAAATGTCTCATAAAAAAACTGCACTCGCTCAGTGTAAATAAATCCTCTCCTCCTCTCTCGGTTTTTGGACCCATCCGCTAGTCAGATCCTCCCACGCTGCAGCCTCCTCAAGTCGCAAAAAAGTAAGTGCGGGTTGGTGTGAACTGATTGATTTCCTGCTCGACTCGAACCGATGGTCATATCTGCAGCCACATCTATTCGTCAGGATCCCAACTGTGTTCATCAGCATTGTCCAGATCACAGTTGCACTCACGGTTGCCTTCCCAACTCCTCCAAAAATACCTGCGCACAGGTGGGCACCAGATCGCATATATCGAGCCGAATCCCAACTGCTGCCCCCCCTTAGACCACCGGTACACGCAGACGCCCTGGCGGCGCCTTATTACTGCGCGCCAAGCTTTTCCAAACTGCCAGCGGCGCACTTCTGTTCTTGTTTGGCAGCCATTGCGATCCAGTCGGCCGCATCATTGCTACAGTGCAGTCAGGACTCGGGATGAGTTTAAACTGTTTGACTTTGACTGCGATTGCCTCGGCGTGACTGTGTGATAGTAGAACTCCGGTCGACTTTGACAGAGGTGATTTGACTGCGATGATAGCCTCGATTTCACTTTAAAGTTTAAACCACCGATCCCCCCGCCAGCCGAAACCCCTCGGCCCGGTGAGCTAAGCCCGCCGGGTTGTATGGAGGGGCGGCAACCACCGTTCGTCACAGGAGGGTCCAATCCCGCCCTTCGCAAGCGGCGGCAACTTTGCGATGATAGCCTCAATTTCACTTTAGTAGGCTCCCACTTGCCTTTAACGACAACCTCAGTTTGCCTGTGATAACAGTCTTAGTCTGTTCCACTCTCCTCTGCTGGACACCGTTCGGCTGTGACAAACTCACCTGTTTTTGACTGCGCTAGACTCTAGTCGACTATGATAAACTCAGTTTGACCGCGGTAAACTACCTTTTTTGACTGTGATAACTTCTACTGAGTTTGTTGGTGGACTGTTTGACTTTGGTCAACGACGTTTGACTTTGTTATCCTGCACTTGACTTTGATTTAAAACTGTTCTTTGACTGCGACACACACTCATGTGTTTGACTCTGCTAGACCCCGTTTGACTGTGATAGACTCGTTTGTTTGACCATGCTAGACTCCTGTCGACTGTGCTAACCTCCCTTTGACTGTGATAACCTCCACTGACTTCGGTGCTTGGTAAACTATGTTTGACTTTGGTCTACAACTCTACGCCATTGAACTCTGATAACCTGCACTTGACTTTGATGATAAGCTCTGTTTGACTATGATAGACTCATCTGTTTGACTATGGTAGACTCTCATCAGTTTGACTATGATAGACTCTCATTTGTTTGACTGTCCTCAACTCGACGCCATGCAACCGCGGTAAAAACTCCACTTTACTGTGATTGACGACTCCGTTTGAGTTTGACAGACTCCGTTTGACTATCGTAGATTCCGTTTGGCTTTAGCGACAAACTCCGTTTGACTCTAATGAACTCACCTGTTTGCTTGCGCTCAGCTTGAGATTGACGACTGCGTTTGAGTTTGACAGACTCCGTTTGACTATCGTAGATTCCGTTTGGCTTTAGCGACAATTGGACTCACCTGTTTGCTTGCGCTCAACTCCGTTTGACTGCGGTAAACTCAGCTCAACTGTGAGCAACTCTGTGTAACTGTGACGGCCTCCATTTCGACTTTGGCGGTAGAGATTCCGTTTCACTGTAGTCAAATCCGTTTGACTGTACCCTTAATCAGCATCGACTTTGCTTGTGCTATATCTTCAAGTCAACCTTCTCATCCTGTGTAACACAAACTTGGCGCTGTGTGTTCATTGGACTCCCACAATCGAATGCAGTGCACAGTTCTTGCAGGCAGTCACTCGTCAGCTCCGTTTCCCCTTGGTGCTATGTTCGTGCTAGGAAAGCAGGACCCTCGCGTGACCACTATTAGGATGGATTCTGTTCCCCACACGTGACCACTATTAGGGTGATGTTCTCCACACGCTGTCGCAGGTCCCCTTCTTCCCCCTGGTGCTATGTTCATGCTAGGAAAGCATGAACCTCGCCGCAATTATATTTATGGTGTTATGTTCATGCTAGAAAAGCACCAACCTGGCCACTATCATGTCTACGTTCACCCGCCCACACTGAAACTGTGCATGCTATGATATCACATGGCAGCCGTTGACGTAGCCGCATCGCGGTTGTAGCCTTCAATGTCAAACCTTTGGACCCTCGGCTCGAGCGCTCCTCGCTTCCGCACCTTAAGTCACAGTGCCCTGTCGTTGTGTTCTGCATGCGCATTTCCCTTCTTTTGGCTCCAGCTTCTCCTCTTCGTATTCTCCCTCTGCGTCGTCATCCTCGATGGCCGCACAAACTTACCCCGCCAGTGTGCCTGCGGTGTCGGATGCAACGGAATGCCCGGAAACCACCCCCATTCCCGACAATGACGTCACCCAAAGACAGCTTTCTGCAGCGCTGCCGTTGTCGCTTGCATGGGCATTCACATTTGGTTGTGTCGTTTCAGTGATTTCACTCTTCTTCTTCTCCCGCCATGTTAAAACCCCACTTCACATTTGGTTGTGCAGCCCATTTCCCGCTGCTTCTTCTCCCGCCATGGTTGTCGTCCCCGGTGGCCACATGGAATTTCGCAGTGCGCCTGCGTCATTGGATGCAAAGAAATACCTGAGAAGCAAAAGCATTACGCTGAACGCCCGTTGTCAGTTGCGTGGGCATTCGATGCTCACTGCGCCATCTCCTCTCCTTTGTCTCCCTCTACGTCGCTGTCGTTCGTACGACCATTCACGTCCTCAATCGCCTGACGAATTTACCTTGCCTGTCTGTCCTCAGATATGACGGGATGCCCTAAACCTCCACCATTCCAGGCAGTGATGTCAACCGAAAAGAGAGCAGTACACTGCCGAGTCTCTGCCGGCCATTCACCAATTCATGTCCCCCTTTGTGCCATCTCCTCTTCTTCTCCTCCCTCTATGTCGATGTTGTTTGCGTGCGCATTCACGTCCTCAATTGCTGTACGAAATCACCCAGTCTGCCTGTCTTCGGATGTGAAGGAATTCGCCGAGAACCGCCACCATTTCCGGCAGTGAAGTTGACTGAAAAGAGCAGCACACCTGCCCAGTCTGCCGACCATCCACCAGTCTACAGAGATGGAAACTCACCTAGGAGGCTAGGATCACATCCATTTTAGGAATACAATCTATAGGTATAATAATATTCTAATTCTAGATCCCATAATAACCTATAATGTACGCGCAAAGCGGCCAACCATCGTCTTTTTAAGCGAGCAGACTCGGCAGCGGTCTCCTCTCGCACTTTCTCCCGCCAAAGCGGTCACTCCATGTCTGCAACTCCTCTCTCCTCTCGCCCTTTCGCCAACCGAAGCACTCAATCCATGCCCGCAACTCCCCTCTCCTCCCAAATCCCTTGATTCAGTCCATCCCTTCCATCAGTCTGCCGACCATCCACCAGTCTATGGAGACGGAAACTTACCTAGGAGGCTAGGATCACATATCCATTTTAGGAATAGCATCTATAGGTATAATAGTATTGTAATTCTAGATCCCATAATAGCCTATACTGTATGCGCAAAGTGGCCAACCATCGTCTCTGTAAGTGACAGGCTCGGCAGATGTCTCCTCTCGCACTTTCTCCCGCCAGCCAAAGCGGTCACTCCATGTCTGCAACTCCTCTCTCCTCTCACCCGTTCACCCACCGAAGCACTCAATCCATGCCCGCAACCCCCAAATCCCTTGATTCAGTCCCTCCCTTCCATCAGTCGGCCGCAGACGTGTGCTGTGAGCAAAACTTTGTCCGCAACCCCTCTCATCTCATACTTTCTCCCTCCGGTCACTCCATGTCTGCAACTCCTCTCTCCTCCCGCCCTTTCTCCCACCACGTCTGCAACTCCCCTCTCCTCCACCCTCTCTCTCCCACAGCCCTCCATCCTATCCAGCCCTTCCATCAGGCAATAGTCACACTTGGGACTTTCCTGAATGTATCTGGCTGCAAGTACAGCCCGACCTGAATGAATCTGACTGCAATCACATCCAGAGCCTAGCAGAAAAGGTCCTAGTGTGAGTATGCGCTCGGTCTGTCGCACACCTCTAGCTACGAAAGCACTCAATCAAGAAGTGGTGGAAGGACGACGAACTATGGGCCTCCCTCCACTGCACAACGTGCTAAATGCATCCGGACCTGGTAATGGTCCCAATACATTGAACATGTTGGATCAGTCCACAATGCACCTGGTCCAGAATCAGACCTGATACATATCCCATGTTGAGTAGTGGAGCGAAGTGTTTACGTCTGCAACTCCCCTCTCCTCGTCCTTTCTACCCCCAAAGCCCCTCTCCACGGATCCATCCATTCCACCAACCTTTCTCAAACAAAAAAGGACACGAGTAGTCATGTGCGTCAGGCGCGCATGATGGCATTGGACGGCGTCCAACCGCTGAGCATACAGACCATGGGCCTCGCTCCACTGCACAACATTCTAAATGCATCTGGACCAGGAAATGATCCCAAGTTCACATTCAAAATAGTTGATCAGTCGCAGTGTGTCTGGCGCATAACAGCGTCAGATAAGCATCGGACGTTTTAGTAGTGAAGCGAGGAAGCGAGGCGCCACTTGGGTAAACGACGATCACAATCATCACACACACGAGCTGTGTGCTCGTCACATCCCCGAGGTTTCTAGAACCTTCCTCCCTCTACAGCCCCCTTTTTTTGACGTCATATGCCTGCAAGATTGCCGCCCGTATGCGCACGCATGGCGTGGAAAGACCCAAGAAAAAGTCTGTGCAAAAAAATCAAGGCACCTCCTCCTCCAAGGATTAATGTTCAGACATGTGCTGTTTTTTTTTTTAACGGAATCTGGCCCCAGTTTTGCACAGATACATCCAACAAAATCGTAGTGCGAATGCACCTTGAAAGAATCATGGTGCTTCACGAGTTTTTCAACTCAACGCCTCGCGCTTAATTCGATGCTTTTCTTAACTTGACCAAGTACGTTGCCACAGGAGCCTTCGGGTATCGTCATGCTCAGACTATGTCGTCTTTTACCTGAATCTGGTCTCAGTTGTGCACAAAAATACATCCAGTAACCTCGTAGTGCAAATATGCCTTGAAAGAATCATGGTGCTTGCTCGTAAAGACTCGTTAAGTTTTTTTTGACTGTTTTTGAAGTTTTGATACGTCACTTAATTAGATGCCTTGCTTAATTTAACCAAGTTCCCGTAAGCACCTCCAGGTACCGCCAAAAGCTCCTCGTGTGTTCCCTTTTCCACGACCTCTCCTCCTTTCACTACAGCGATCATATCTGCGTTTCGAACCGTGGACAGGCGATGTGCTACGACCACTGTCGTTCGTCCGACCATCACTCTATCGAGCGCCTCTTGCACGACTCGCTCCGACTCCGCATCTAGCGCACTTGTTGCTTCGTCTAACAGCAGTATCTTTGGGTCCTTGATGATAGCCCGCGCGATTGCCACCCTCTGCTTCTGGCCCCCCGATAGCTGCACCCCACGCTCCCCACACTGCGTGTCATAACCACCTGGCAGTGCAGTAATGAACGAGTGCGCATTTGCTGCCATTGCTGCCCGTTCAATTTCCTCGTCCGACGCATCTGGTTTCCCATACAAGATGTTTTCGCGAATGGATACGGCAAAAAGAACCGGCTCCTGGCTGACCAGACCGATCTGCTGCCGTAACCATTTCAGCTGCAATGTCTTCAGGTCATGGCCGTCAAGGAGAACACATCCAGCATCTGGGTCATAAAACCTTTCCATCAAGCTGATCGCTGTGCTCTTTCCACTGCCGCTTTCGCCCACAAGCGCCGCGGTCTTTCCGGGAAGAATCTGCAGGGAAAAGTCTTTAAGGACCACCACATCTGGCCGCATCGGGTATGCAAACCGGACGTGCTCAAACTCCACGGTTCCTGCGACGGTCGCGAGTTCCCTACCACTCGCATCTTCCGCATCGATCTTCGGTTTCCGGTCGAGGATTGCATATATAGAATTCACTGCGGTCTGGACTTTGCTGACGTCGGGCGCAGCACTTTGGGCTTGCGAAGCAGTCATCGCGCTCATAACGATCGCGAAAAACACCGTGAACAAATCGCCGAACGAATTCTTTTTGTCTCTGACAAGCTTTGAGCCGTACCAGAAGGTGAGAGCATACGCAGCGCAAATGACAAACATGGAAAACCCCATTCCAGCACCACTTACAAAAGCCCTCTTCTTCCCAGCATTCTCTGGTGCGACCGACTTTTCACTGTAAAGCTTGAGAACTTTCTGCTCCGATCCGAAGGCCGCCACCGTGCGGATATTGCCAACTGCATTACTGGCAATCCTGCTTGCTTGTTCGAACATCACCTTCGCATCCCCACTGAAACCTTGCATGAACTTCATTTGGACAACTCCAGAGATCGCCAAGAGTGGAACGATGCACAAAACAACAAGTGTTAGCTGCCACGAGTAAGCGAGAGCTATCACAAGCCCCGCGGCCAAGGAGACGACACTCTGCACCATCACAGCCAACCGAGCATTAACAATAGCTCTCACCAATGTAGCGTCTGTCGATAACCGCGCACCGACTTCGCCGCTGGAGTGCGACGGCTCATCAAACCATCCGATTTCCTGCCGGAGAACAGCCGAGTATGTCATGATTCTTATCCGCCGAACCAGCCTCTCGCCAACCACTCCATACAGTCCGAACTGCATTACAAGACCCGCAAACGACAGCACAGAAAGACCCAGGAACAGCCCACCCCATTTGTTGCCTGCCCTTCTGATACTGGCTGACTCTCCATAGAAGCCTTCCAGCATCCCTGAAAGAAAAATTCCGAAAGCCGGGAACACCAAGCCCATAATCAGCGCACCAATGAAACCGCCTACCGAATACAACCAGTCAGGATGGCTTAGCTTCGTCACTCGCATAGTGGGCACATCAGGCAATTTCTCAATTGCATCACCTTTCGCTTCTCCCTTCTCAACATCCTTTCCTTGAGTGTTTTTCCTTCTACTCAGGAAACCCGACACCCAGCTGTCTGCACCACCCTTTCCGCTGCCCGGGCGACCGAAATCCTGGGATGCTCGACCACCGGAAGCATTGTTCATAGAATCTTGTTGGTCGATTCCTAACGATATCTGTGACGTCAACACCGCCTTCGCTGTTTTGCCGTTCTCGTCGCTCCCATCATGTTCTTCCTCGTCGTCGTGACGTTTCTGCAGCCGAACGAGTGCCGAGTATGCTCCTGCTGGTTGGGCAATGAGGTCCTGATGGCGTCCCATTTCAACCACTTTTCCCCTCTGCACAACGGCAATCAAGTCGGCGCCTTGCACTGTCGACAATCGGTGCGCCACGACGACTGTCGTGCGGTCGCTCATAATTCTGTCAAGCGCTTCCTGAACCGCTTTCTCCGATCGAGTGTCCAGCGCGCTCGTGGCTTCGTCCAAGAGGAGAACTCTCGGATTACGCAGAATGGCGCGTGCAATAGCAACTCTCTGCTTCTGTCCACCAGAAAGCTGTGTGCCAAGATCTCCGACTTCGGTCTCATAACCTTTAGGAAGTTTCTTGACAAATTCGTGCGCATTCGCCCTCTTGCACGCTGCCACAATCTCTTCTCGACTCGCCCCCTCCTTGCCATACGCCACGTTCTCCGCAATCGTTGTTGCAAACAAAACAGGTTCCTGGCTTACGAGTCCGATCTGCTGCCGCCACCATTTCAGCTGCAGGCTCCTGATGTCTACCCCATCCACACACACTTGCCCTCGTTGTGGATCGTAGAAGCGTTCGATTAAACTGACCACGGTACTTTTCCCACTTCCGCTCTCCCCGACCAATGCCACCGTATTTCCGGCTGGGATGACAAGGCTAAACCCGTCAAAGATCTTCACGTCCGGCCTCGACGGGTACGTGAATTCAACCTCTTTCAGCTCAATCTGCCCCCGGACTTCGGCCAGTACCTTCCCTGACGTGTCCTCGATATCGATGTCAGGCTTCCTTTCTAGTACTTGAAACATTTTGTACGCCGCAACCTTGCCAGCTGCTACACTATTGATACTGGGACTGGCTTGTCCCAGGGACCTGCACATTTCCCAATGAGCAGAAGCGATGGCAGAATCAGGACCCCCACCCACCCCAGAGAATAAAACAAGCAAAGGGACTGCCGGCCCTGCAAGGCGAACTTGTCCGTGAGAACACCTTTCATGACCAAGGCCACCGGGGTCAAAATTTGAAAAAACTTGCCAAATCCCGAACATTTTGAATGTACCTGAACCCGGCAGTGTCCCAATACAATTGAATACATTAAAAATGCTGCCGTTTGCATGGTTCTTGGAATAACAGAAAAGATCACGCTGAGGGCTAGGTTCCATTCATCAGCAATTTTCATTGCTCGTGTGGTATTTAGGGCTTGCCACACTACCCATGAAATGAAAAGAACGTGCGTGCATCTTCCCCCAGAAACTGCCCATGTACATCCCTTACTTTTTGTAGTAATCCCTTTCATCCTGGTCAGCTCACAATGCAAAACTCACGAGAAGACAATGTCATTCAATTGCAACTCAAATGAGACAAGAATGAAAAAGTACGAAATATAAAATTAAAAAATACGAAGAATTGGAGAAAGAACAAGAACAGAGGAATGGAGAAGAAGAAGAAGAAGAAGAAGAAGAAGAGGACAAAGAAGAAGAAGAAGAAGAAGAAGAAGAAGAAGAAGAAGAAGATCCGAATAAATCAAGGGTACCCAGATGTCCGTTTTTACTACAGTAATTTTGGTTGATGACATAAAAATGGATATCCGGGTAGAATGATCCACCCTGCAGATCGGGATGAGATCAAGGGTACACAGATATCCCGTTTTCTGCTACTTCGGTTAATAATGTAAATAAGTAAATGTAAAAGACCAAAGTCTCCCTGCGGGGGGGGAGAAGAGGGGTAGAAGGGAGAGAATGAGGAGGGGGTTTAATTTATTTGTAGTGTCATGAGATGAACTTACATTCCCCCCATAATAACCCCAAAGAGGACGGTACTAACATTGCCACCATCATAACCATGCCTGTGATCTGCAACGAACCGCGATCCGACCCAGAGGCACATCGCATACGTGAAGAACATGACGCACATAGTCATGCCCATTCCTATTCCGTTCGCGAACGCCTGTTGCACACCGTTGCGGTACGCCCCTTGCAGTTTCGAGGTGTACAAATCGATGCACCGTCGCTCGGCGACAAACGCTTGGACCGTCCTGATCCCGCCAATGGTCTGATCTGCTTGCGATCCTGCTTCGGCATACGCCTGCTGACCGCTGGCGGACATATTTTGAACGGCTTTCATGTGCAGCATTCCGCTCACCGCCAGCAGCGGGAAAGCCGACATAAGGATGAGTGTGAGCAGCCATCCCTTTATGAAGGCCACAATGAATCCAGCGATACATTGTGCATAGAGATGGATCCCACTCGCAAACTGGCAAGGACACAAACACACAAATTAAAAATAAGTATCAAAATAATGATTTACATTATACAAAATTACAAATGAAAATTTAATGAATAGCGGGGGGGGGGGGGAAGTTGATCCCCACGATGAATCCGGCAATACATTGCGAATACAGATGAATCCCACACTCAAATTGCCAAAAACACAAACACACCCACAAAAAAAAAGTACTAAAATTTTAAAAGTAAAATAACAATTTACATTATTGTGATGACCCAACCAAACACGGACTGAGACACAGTTGATTTCTGAGTTTTGCTCATGGACTGAATGCCTTGCTGAGTTTCCCGCTTGCTACTAAAGTTCTCTAAGTCTGTGTGTGTACACGCTTGCTGGTCTGCATGTCTGTCTGAGTGCTGGTTGGCTTGAGTGTGTGTGTGACCCGCAAGGGCACTTGTTCGTTCGTTGGGCCCTCAGGGCCGGTACTTACCTGAGGACTGCAGCGGGGAAAAACACTCCAAGTAGCAGGTAGGCCACCGCACCCTGAAGAGGTAGATGTGCGGGGTACTGGAGGCCGAGCAGAAGAAGACAAAAGTGGCATTTTTAGAGGCCCAGTAGTTGTAGCCTAGGTCTAGGCGGGGTACCAGTCCAACCAGTCTGAGTCTAGGGCCTGTACGGGCAATATCAGAGTCTGCAATGACGTTTCCCTCCGAAAGGGAGGAGGTGCCGGTTGCTTGGAAGGCTGAGCGGCCTGGAAGTCACCGCCCGAAGAGGCAAGCAGGCCGCTATATCTCTAGGCCGGGTGAAGAGCTCAGCCTCATTGTCGGTGTGCAAGTTTGGCGACACGCTGGTTGGAACGCTGGCTGGAGCAGTGCTATGGTGGCAGCCATCTTCATCACCTTGGTGGGCGGTGCAGCAGGGAGACCCCAGCTGGGGTAGACCTACACCAAGAAGCTTTGAGGCAGAGTCAGGCATGGCGGCCTGAGCTAGAGCAGCCATAGCTGCTTCGTGTTGTCCTTTGGAGAGCCGGGTCATAACCCGGTAGTCCGCCATAGCCTCGGCCTAGGAGGAAGAAGGAGAGAGGCGGCCATGGCTATGGTGGACCTCAAGTGATCCCTGCAGTAGAAGAGGGATTCCGACATTGATTCTGGTTCAGCCATTCAACATTGTACTATTATTTCTTGTGTGAATAAGAGAGGAGGAGAAAAGGAGGAGAGTGTTTGGCGAAGAAGAAGAGCATTATCATTTGTCTATGCTGGTGTACATCGTCTTCTTCTTCTTTCTTTCTCCTTCTTCTTACCCTCTCTCCCCTCTCAAGTTCATTCATTTCTTTCTGCAATTGAACGGCATTGTACTATCTGATGAATGTGTACTTCGAAATTGGCCAGGATCATAGCATTATACAAATGAAAATTTAATGAATAAGGGGTGGGGGGGAAGTTGATGCCCACGATAAATCCGGCAATAAATTGCGAACAAACTGGCAAGGACACAAAATTATGAAAATCTAAAAACTTCAAAAAAAAGTAAAATAATATTTACCTAGGCTGTTCCGCCCGGTTGGTTGTCCACCGGGCGACCCCAGCGCATCCCAGACGGGGGGGTGGTTTCGGCCATTTTCGACGCGGGGGGCCTTCTTCCCCCCAAAGGAGGCCGTCCAGGCCAACAGAGGTGGAAAAAAAGAGTCGGTAGGCCTGATTTCAAGAATTCGAAATTGGGGCCCATCTCCGCCGTCGATCTCCAGGATCGACGGCCCGGATGGGCCGCGATTTCGAATCCCTGAGGGCGGGAACCACCGGCCCTCGTCCCCTCCCTCCCGCCCGATGCCTCACTTCGCCCGATGCCTCACTTCGACAGGAGCTCCGCCAACACCCGCCAACGCCGCCGACGCCTGCCATCGTGCTGTCGCGCCAAGGTAAGTGGGTTAGTAGTAGTAGAGAGACTTCCAACGCCCGCCATCGCGTTGTCGCAACAAGGTAAGTGGGTAAGTAGTAGTAGTAGTAGTAGTAGTAGAGAGAGAGAGAGAGAGAGAGAGAGAGAGAGAGAGAAAGAGAGAGAGAGAGAAGATCTTTTTCTTCTTCTTCTTCTTCTTCTCCTTCTTCTTCTTCTTCTTCATCGTCGTCACTTCTTCTTCTTCGTCTTCTTCTTCTTCTTCTTCTTCTTCTTCTTCTTCTTCTTCTTCTTCTTCTTCTTCTGCTTCTTGCTCTTCCTCTTCCTCTTCTTCTTCTTCTCCTCCTCCTCCTTTGCTGCTTCTTCTTCCTCTTATTCTTGCTCACCATTTCGTGCCCCCCCCTGCCCGCCATTTCCGATTTTTTTATTTTTTTATTTTTTTTGTTTGTCTTGTGCAGGCGCGCGTGGGGCCGCGATTACGACCTTCCCCCACGACCCCTCCCCGCCATCTCTAAACGCCCATCTTCTTCTTTTCTTCTCGCCCACCCTTTCTCATCCCCGGCCCTCCATCCTTTCTCAGCCCCCGCCCATCTTCGGCCTTCTTCTTCTTCTTCTCCTTCTTCGCTGCTTCTTCTTCTTCTTCTTCTTCTTCTTCTTCTTCTCCTTCTTC